CCTTAATGAATGAATTTCTGGATCTGTTTGCAATTTCCACAAACAAAAATACAACAATTGCTGACTGTTTGGAAAGACAATGGGCAATGCACTTGGAACCCCCAGTTCAGGAGAAACTTAAATGATTGGGAGGTTCTTCCCTAATCAGATGACTCCAGCTGCTGTATGACTCAAACATACCAGGAATAGGAGAAGATAAAAGGGTGTGAAGTTTTGAGAAATCAGGGGTATTCTCTGTGAACTCTTTCTTTAAAGTTGTTTCAGATGAGGAAGACATCTCTTTTTTTTATCAATAACAGAAACTTTTATTAATAAAAGGAGACAGAAAAGATACAACAAGAAGGGGGCGGGGGGGGGGGGGGGTAAAATCTCTTACCCCACCCTAAGAAACTAGTTCTTCCCACCCCTTGTTTAGCTAGATAAACTGCAAAAGAATTGGCACTCCTCTTGGACCACTGAAACTGAATTTGCAGGTCATGAGTGAGCTGGTAAATTTTCTTTTTTTCATTCAAGAACTTCCATAAACTAGCCTCTTCCTTCTGCAGCCAGATAATAGCCAGTTTAGAATCACCCTCCACCAGCAGCTTCCAAATATTCAGCTGTTTGGCTCTTTTTATTCCTTCTAATACTGCTGAAATTTCAGCTCTCAGAGAATCCCCCCAACCAATAGGCCCTAAAAACATGGCCATAATTCGACCTTCTTCATCCCTAAACACTCTTATACCTGAAGGGCCAGGGTTCCCTTCGCTGCTGCCATCAAAATTCAATTTAGTGAAGCCCATAGTTGGAAGAGACCAAGTTGGAACAGGGGCATTAATCAAACAAGCAGACCAGGCAACTTCTTTCCAATTTCTAATGATATCTCCTGCTGAGAAGCCTTCAAAAAGCTTCTTAGACTTTACCCAATGAACCACCCTAATGTAGATTAAATCAATGATGGCTTCTTTGTTCTTTTCTTTTTGCTAGAAAGTTTGTTGATTTCTTTCCTCCCACACTGTCCAGCATACAGCTGCTCTTACACATCTCCACAAGATCTTACCTCTCTTTTTTAAACCCCTCACTAGAGCAGAGTTAAACAAGCTTTGTACACTTGGAGTGGGCCACCTGCAACCAAAAAGAGAGAAAAACCAACACCATATTTCTGAAACAAAAGGACAGGAAACAAATAAGTTATAACAACTCTCACCATTCCTCTTACATAAGATACACCAGTGCGGGGATAAAAACCATCTTGGCCTTTTCTTTTGAAGTAAGTCACAAGTGTTACACTTTCCTAGGATAGCTTCCCAACATAAAGCACCTACTCTGGGAATGGGTTAATTCCTTGAAGAAAGAAGAGCATGAAAAAATACCCAAAGGAGTAGGAGCCCAAATCCTACTATCCAATCTAGAGGGGTCAACAACTACCTCCTCCAGAATCTTAATCAAATTAGATATGGAATCCAATTCAGAGTCTCTAAGAGGCCTCCGGAAGCCCAGGTTCCAAACAGGGCCAGAATTAGAGAAGGCTAGGAAAGTAGCAATAGGCTCATTTTTAAACCTTGAGAGAGAGAACAAAGAAGGAAACTGCTCTTTCAAAGGTGTGTTACCCACCCAGATATGCTCCCAAAATCTTACAGAATTACAAGAGCAAAGGTCATACCTGATAAAAGGAAGGAGGAAGAATAGCATGAATAGACTTCCAAGGGGAAGCTCTTGTAGCCCTAGATGAAACACCCGTGTCCCAGGACTTCGTTCATTTGTCAGTCTCCATAACCATTTCCCCAACAGGACTTCATTCTTCTTCATCAAGTTACCCAAGCCAAGACCACCATCCTTTTTATCTCTATTTACCAGATCCCACCTAACTCTATGTTCCCTTTTCTCCTCCCCAAGTTCCCATAGGAAATCTCTCATGAGTTTCTCCAACACCCTACACACTCCCTCAGGATTCAGGAATCTTAAACACAGACATAAAGTATATCAGGAAGTTCGCTAAGGTTGATTTAATCAACATTATCCTACCACCCAAAGATATATAGTTTTTCTTCCATGAAGCTAGCCTTTTTGTGAATTTCTCAATCACTGGATTCCAAACGTCCATTCTACTAGGATTATCCCTTAAGGGAAGTCCCAAATATTTCAATTGCCACTGTGCAATCTTGCATCCCAATATTTGGGCCCTTTCTTCCACCTCTCTGGTCCTCATATTATTACCAATCACACAACTCTTATCAAAGTTGACTTTGAGATTGGTCACATGTTCAAAGACATTAATCACCTGTTTTAAGTTTCTAACCCACCTAATCTCATCCCCTCTGCAAAACAAAATTGTGTCATCCGCAAACTGTAAATGAGTGATCTAAACCCCATCTCTCCCAACTTTCCAACCACTTACCAGACCCCTAGAATCTGCCCTCTCCATAATCCTCCCCAAAACTTCAGCAATTAGGGTAAAAACAAAGGGGGACAGGGGGTCCCCTTGCCTAATACCCGTAGTAGCTGGAAAGTGATCCACCACCCTACCATTCACCAAAATGGAATAGTGGCAAGTCCTAATGCACCCTTTTATCCACTTACACCACCTTTGCCCAAAACCAAAAGACCCTAGCACTTCCAACAACACAGACCAATCAGCCGAGTCATAAGCCTTTTCTATATCCAATTTACACACCAACCCTTTCTTTCTATTTCTTTTGAAATCTTCCGCACTCTCGTTTGCTATTAATATTTGACCCACAATTTGTTTATTCTTCACAAATGCACCTTGGTTAGGGGAAATGATTGTGGGGAGAACCTCTCTAATTCTACACAAGAGAACCTTGGCAATGATTTTGTAGAGACTATTAACCAAACTGATGGGTCTGAACTCCCTAGGGTGGCAAGCACCCTCCTTTTTTGGGACTAATGAATGAAAGTAGAGTTCAGACCGGGAATAATCACCCCTCTTTCAAAGAAATCTGAGAACACATTCTGGATGTCATCCTTAATAATCTCCCAGCAGTCTTGATAAAAATCCATCGTGAAACCATCAGGTCTTGGGGCTTTATCTCTATCCATAGAGAAAATGGCATCCCTTTTTCCTCCACCTCAAACTCTCTTTTCAACCATTCAATCAGCTCTTCAGGGAGCCTGGACCAATCCAAACCTTCAATCCTTAATCTCTCATTTAAGGGTCTCCTGAAAATAGATTTGAAATGATTCACAAAAGCCCCTGCAATATCGTTTTGTTGGGTTAAAGTTATACCATCAATCTCCAACTTAGAAATGGAATTCTTCTTCCTTCTACCATTAGCTATAGCATGGAAGAATTTTGCGTTCCTGTCTCCCACCTTCACCCATCTATGTCTGGATTTTTGCTTCCAACTGATCTCTTCTTTAAAAAGCAGATCCTCCAGATTTTTCCTCAATTCCCACCTCAACTCTTTATCCCTTTCCCCAAAGCAGCCTTGCTCTTCCTTTGCATCTAACTCCTCTAACTGATTAATCAAAAAATATGGATTAAAGTTGTTCCTTCAAAGATAGCTTTTTCTGTTTGGTCAGCAGTGTTGGACAAAATCCTAGCCAAGGAGAACTTAGCCAAAAGAGGGGTAGAAGTGGCAGACTTGGCCTGTCCCCTATGTAGTGGGAATGTAGAACCCTCTAGTCATTTGCTGTTACACTGTGATTTTACCCACTGGGTTTGGTTGAGAGTGGTGGATTTATTTGAGGCTAAGCTGTGCTTCCCAGCGGATATGTAAAGGGACTCATAGAAGCTTTGTGGCCGGGAGGTCTTAGTAAGGCTGGAAAGGTGGCATGGATCATCATCCCCGCTGCAGTTATGTGGGCTGTGTGGAATAAAAGAAATAACAGAATATTTGAAGGAACTCAGAACTCAAAAGAAGATATACTAAGGAAAATTCTGGGGATGATCCACTCATGGCTGGAAATACACCTGATGTTTAAAGGCAGACATCCAAGTGTAATTCTGTTTGTAAGGAATGGATAGTTTTCTGTTTTTGTTTGGGGGATTGAGGCTGTATTGGGATGAGATGGTTTTTTTGTAAATCCTCTGTTCATTTCTCTTTGTACAGGGGCTTTTTGTAGTTGATCTTATTAATGAAATCACTTTACTTTTTACAGTTTTCAAAAAAAAATAATAAATCTGGTTATCTTTCAAGAGAGACCCAAATAGACCTAAAATTGGACGACTATGGAATCCAAAATAGCTCAGCCAATGGTTCATAGAACACCTAGATCTGAGAACAAAAAGCCTCCATATCACAATCCCCAAGAACAGCAGACAAATAGCCCAACACCAACAGGATTTATATCAAGAGAGACCAATGGTGAGAACTCCACTCTATCCAGCACAAATTTCTCAGAATAATTTTTCTTGGACCAATCAAATAGTATTGATATAATTCAGGTCTGCCTTAGAGTTTGGCCTGACTGAGTTCAGTTATGTAGAAGAAGAAAGAGTGATAAAGAAAGAGAGAAAGAGAGAAGAGAGAATTCTGATTCGAACTGAAAGAGTCAACTTGACTTCTCCCAGTCAGCCAGTAAGTATTTATACTATTATTAAAACATAACTGAAAAGACCTATGTGCCCTTACTTAAGAAAACATGTTTCAACACAACATTACAGATCAGCAACATCAATCAAGGTATAAAGACAGAAATACCCCTACGCTAACAAGTATAACAAACTAATCCAAAAATTTCCAGTACCTTAAAAAAAACTTGATTGAATGAGAAAAAAAAAATCAAATTTTGAAAAGAACCACCCAACTAAACAAATGAAATTTGTCTTTCTTCAAATTGCAGTTATCAATTTTGTATCTAAAGAATTGATTGATGATCTAGGCTCAGATTTCAAACCCAAACAACATTAAAGCCTTCACCAGATGCCCTGATTTGTTAATAGCCCCTACTAACGTGTATTTGTGCATTATGAATATAATGTACAATTGCTTGAGTTGCATTCTCTTCACAAACTCATGTAAATAGTTTCATAATATAGAACCTGCAAGAGGGGTTACCTGACTGTTTGATCTGTGTGAATGCCAACAAGTAGAAAATCTCCAAGCCCTCGAGCAAGTCTCAATATCTATAGTTTTTCTCCAACAAAAGAAAAAAGATGATATTAATAAATGGTCCACCAGATCAAATAAGAATGGTCCATAAAAATGAATAGCATTTATTTCTTTTTTAAAGCAACAAAAAATCCATTCATTCATTAAATATCAACATAAAATAGAATGAAACATACAGCCAGTTGAGAGCATAGATGACTATCTTTCCCCCTTTTTTATTCAAATTATAAAACTGCCCAGAATAATTGATTGTAGGTGCCCCTTGCTTTGCTAATGTATAAGCCATGTTGTCAGCTGATCTATGCACCAATCAAACCTGCACTTGCCTCCCACAGTTAAAACTTGAACTTCATTTCATTTCTGTAAGCCCATAATGTTTCCTTTCCATTCTATAGCCATCCTACTACCACTTTCAGATAGTCCTCTGATCAGCTTGTTGAAATTTTTATCTTTTGCCCTCTGGAATTCAAACAGTGCAACCATGGCTTCTGCTCTTAGTGAATCCCCTTCTCCAATCAATCCTGAATACAATGTACTTACACACCTCATTCATCCCTAAGTACTCCCCCCACCCCCTCTTGAAAGCCTTGACTTTTCCCATTAATCCCATCAAAGTTTAATTTGATATAACCTTTTCCAGCATTCAACAAATATTTCGATATTATTTCTATCTTACATGAAGATCCCTCCACTTCTCTCCATTTCCTAAAAATGTCAACAGTGGAAAATGGTGAGAATAGGTCCATCATTTTGTTCTACTGTGCTGCACTAACTGTAACAAACTTAATTATTGTTTCTCTTGTTCTCCCTTTTTCCTTGAAAATTCTTGCATTTCTTTCTTCCAAAATTGTCCAAACTATTGTTTCCTTTGTCACTCTCCACGTCGTTCCTCTTTTATTCGGCCGCCTGAAAGCTGAGGGAGGAAAGAGTCCAACAGTGTGGGTTGGTACATTCCACCTGCACCCAAACAAAGAAAAGAACCATTCCAAACAACAGGAACAAATGAGCTGGAGATCTTATTCAAAGAGAGAGGGAGAGAGAGAGAGAGAGAGAGAGAGAGATTAGTAAATGGATTGAAAAGAACACACCAGCTCAAGGATAAACACCAAGAAGGCCTTTTATGGAGATTATCAAAGGTGTATATCTTTCCAGCAAAAGGCCCTGATCTTCAGACAAATAGGGCAACACCAAATTTCTTAACAACAAAAGGTAGCAATGGGAAGGAGAGCTCAACACCCTGAAAAAGGAAGCACAAGAGGACCCTAAAGGGTTAAAAGACCAAGTTCTACTATCCAAGCTGGAAGGTTCCAAAAACAGTCTAACAACTGCAACAAATTAGTGACAAAAAGAAGTTCAGAATCATAATACCCCTTCTAAAACCCAAATCCCAACTAAACCCATTCCCAGATTGAAAAAGAACCACAGACTTAGAGATTGTATCCCCCTTTAAAGAAGACAACTGAAAGCAAATGGGAAAACAGGCCAGCATCCCATTACATCAATTTGCTATGAGCCTGCAAATGGTAGTCACCATTAGGTGCACTTTATGCCACAACTTTTCTTTCTCAATTGGCAGCCTCCACCCCACTTTCCCAATAAAGCTATATTCTTTCATCTGTCTTCCCAATTCCAAACCCCCCTAAATCATTCCTTCTACACACAAGTGACACAACTTCCCAATTCACTAAGTGATCTTTTTTTTCCTCTCGCCCAGCTCTCATAGGAAACCCCTCAGTTTTCTCTAGCTTATTTGCTACTGGTTCAGAGTACCATTTATTTCTTGAAAGATAATAAATTCATGAGGGAACAAATATAACAAGAAAGAAGCATGCATAATGTATACACATCCAATAGTAATGACAATTTTTAGGGGTGCAAATGGATTGGATCATGATCCGATCCAGTCTGAAGTCTGATCCTATATTGTAATATTTGGATATCCCTGTTTCAGATTTTCGGATCAGATCGGATTTGGATCACCCCCTATCCAATTCGAAAGGATCTGATCTGATATATATGTTATTTATTTATTTATATTATATATATATATGTATATATGTTATTAATTTATTTATAAATATGTTAATTATATTGCATTTTTGTAATTTTTATACTATTTATTTTTATGTAAAAACATGTATATATATTGATGAAAATAGTAGAAAAAATACTTGTATTTTTTGTTTGTCTTTATTTAAACAGTTATATTTTCTTTTCCTTTTAATAATTTATTAGATTTTATAAAAAAAAAAGTTAAATCGGATTGGATCGGATTCAGGTATGCGACATCTTGATCAGATTCGAATTCAAATCAATATTTATGAGATCCGATCGGACCTACAATGTTTCAGATCGGATTTGAATCCTATCCAATCTGTTTGTATCCCTACTCCCTAGAAATTTTCCCCATTAGACCGGGGCCCTGCCCCGCCCTACTTCGAATTGGGTGGGTTCCCCCAATCTTAAATGGGGATGGGTGGGGATAGGGAAAATATTTTTGTCCCAAACAAGGGACGGGATTTGCATTTAATTCCCCGGACCCGATGGTAAATTAGTAAAACATCCCTAGGTTTAATACAATGTTTTAAAACGCGAAAGCATGATGCAAGGCATTCCACTACCAAGAGGCATGAGGTGTAGTTCAGAACATAGCAGGCATAAGCCTCCTTAAGAGGAGAGGGATTAAGCCTCCTTAAGAGGAGAGGGATTAAGAGGAAGATGAAGATGGGGGGGGGAGGAAGAAGTTTTCTTTATTTTTAATAAAAACCTTTTATATTAAGAAGAATGAAGATGCATAGCACTAGTTGAAAGGGGGGTCTTGTCTTTCTTTTTCTCTTTTTCCTCTTCTCTTTCTTTCCTTTCTTTTCCTTTCCTTTTTTTCCTTTCTTCTTTTCTTTTTTTCTTGTTTTTCTAACTTTTTATATGAAATGTGCACGAGACGTAAGACGTAGACCTCTAGCACGTCTCATGAAAAAGGCATATAAGGTGTACGTCTCAAAGGTATCAGCACCTTTGGCATTACGCCTAAGGGCATTTTTGGGGTGCCTGGCCTGGAGGCGCACCTCCAAGTGTACGCCTCCACCATTTAAAAACTGGTTTAATATTAATTTTTAAAATATCACTAACTTTTCCCCAAATTCCTAAAATCCTAGGATCCTATAATTCTATTTCTAAAATACCCCCAAATTACCACAATCCAATTTCTAAAATACCCCCAAATTCCCATAATCCAATTTCTAAAATACCCCCAAATTCCCATAATACTATTTCAAAAATATCCTCAAATTAGATGTATTTTTAGGTGGTTGCTTGGGGCAAGAAAAATTTGAGGATTCCTTAGGGATGGAGAGTGGGTGCCCCGCTCCACCACCGGGTGCCGAGTGAGGACGGCGTAGAGTATCTTGGCTAGGGGGCAGGGACAAGAAGGGCTGCCGCGCCCCATTGCCACTCCTAACAACCAGAAAGTATTGTAGTTGGATTATTTGTTGATCCAGAAAAAAAAAATCATAAAGGATATTAGCACTTCACAATTAGATGTCTTTCAAGAATGAATCCGAAAAAGAGAATATGCTGCCTACATATCAGAGTGGTAGCTTCTTTAGTGATGTTTTATGCAGAAATGGAAAGAAACAAGGAAGAAGGAGAAGAGAGGTTAGGAACAAAGACAGGAAGGAAGTAAGGAACAGGGCGAGAAAGAGAGAGAGACAGACAGACAGGCAGACAAAGGGTTGAAGGTGTCTCCACCAAGAGAGAACTCTTGCTCAAATGCAGTAACACCAATAATAGCAGAAAATAGACTGAATTCAATACTTCATACCGACTCCAAACTGAAAGAGAACATAACTATGTATGGATAAATAAAGACCTTTTTTTATAAATAAATCTTATCCCACATGACTACCTAACCAACTAAATAAAATAAAATCTAAAAACATCATCTCATCCCTAGAATATTATCTTGGCATCTTAAATTCTGCAATATAGGCCTGGGTTGAAATATTAGGTGAGTAAGCACCACCAGGCCGTCAGTGACAGATTGGCTCCAACAAATGCCTAGTCCCAAAAGAAGATAACCAGACCTATCCTGCTATCCACTTGGGCTAGGCTTGGAGGTTTTGGTTGGACCATTGGTTGCATGCATCAGCTCCCATGACACGCTAGACCTTATCAAGTTAAAAGGTGGTTACACCTTTCATTGTTGGGCTCCAACAAGTCCTTTGTGGTTGTACTTGTATTCCTGACTTGAGAATCTTTCTTGGACATCCCCCAGCAGGGGAAGCACTGTTTAAGAATGAACCTTTGCCAAAAAAATCTAGGTAATTTTAAGTTGATCAAGGATAACATGTCAGACATAACCTAGGTCATCAAGAAAGATGTTAGTCATAATCATCAGCACTTCAGCAGAACATTACACCATAGCTCTTCTTCAAAGTTCCATAATGTGAAGATCACCAAGCATCTTGTTGCAACACCCAAGAATTGGTTTCAAACCTATGTAACATCATATGGAGTGGGGTACTTTTAATCTTTCAACCCAAGTCATCTAATAGTTACTCATGAAGAAACATTTAACTTCGTTCCCACCATCAATGACCATATCGATTAATATTTTTCCACAACATACCCAAGTACAAAAAGAAATGATGATTCATTTGCAATCTTCCTATATAATGGTAAACATGAAAGATGACTTCTAAATAAGCATTGACTTTGTATTACAGGACTCTTATTATTCTATAAATTCCCATTTTTCCTTGGCATGCTTTTTAATGAGATATAGCTAACTAAAGAATTTGGCCGGAAACTATGGGAAGAAAGGAACAGGAGGATTCTCAATAAGAAGAGCAGACCCAAGGAGGAAACCATTGATACCATAAAGATAAAAGTTGCACATTGGATAGAGACAATGGAAGTCTTTCAAGCTTACTCAGTGAATGATATAGTTAGAATTTGGACGAAAGTGACACAATCCGCTCAAGAAAAGGAAAGGGTAATCATGGAATGGAAACCTCCA